TCTTCTCCCTCCTCCCTGTGCTGCTGACAAAGAAGAAAACCTGACAGTTGTACATTAGTGAAAAACAGCCAGTGACAAACTGTTTCCTAAAAAGACCAAAGGAACCTTTCTGCCTTTTACGTCCTAAAGACTTTTAGAAGAAACAGGATTACCCTCACCCAAGAGGAGCTGCAGAGAAGGCTCATTTGAGATACTGAGGCATTAGATCTAGAGGAGTTTCTCCTCGTCCAGCTTTCTTGCTACAAATTGTAGGTGGTTTGTGGTTGATACATGGCCATTTCAGTTCTTGAAATGCTATAGAAACAAAACAATGTTCTCCACTTCTTTTCTGCAACCTTTTTTTCATTGTCTTTCGGAAGTGTTTTCATCAATGTATTCGACAACTCGGCTACCACGGACTGCAGCATGCTCTGTATCCTCTATTTGTGGAGAGTTCAAGCTTCTTTTGGGCCTGCTATGTGAAAATAAAACAAGTTGCTTCAATGGAAGTAGAACTAGTAAAACTTGGGTTTGTGTGTCTTTGGGTGTTTTTCCCTCCATGTTTACCTTAGTGGCGTTTCTCCTCTCAGTTCCTGCCTTCTGCTACATCACCTATGCTGTCCTACTTCCCATGTCCCTGTACCACCATCTTGACCCAGCACACTGTGCCTTTATATTTCCTGGTTACCAGTGAAGCAGTAAGTAATACCATGCTGTGGATTTAAGTTACAAATAGGTTGATTAGCCAGCCGGTAGCCTTAGCATGACTGTTTACTTTGTGCTACAATCTTTTCCTTAGTAGGATTATTAATTTTATTAATAATAAAAATTACTAATTTTTGAACCATTGGTGTTCATGATACTTAGACATGGCCTTTTTTCTTTTGGGTCTCTGTCCTGTCAGATATGGCTGTAATTAGTCAATGGATTCCAAGTGTTTTACAAAACTTACTGATGAAAAGTTGTTCGAAGCAGTAGCACTTTTCTTAGCAAACTGAATATTTTCATGTCTTTTGCTTTTCCTCCCTACTATTTTTGAGTAGATCCATACTGTTATGATTACCTGTGCAACAGTCAAAGGGCAAGTGATTATGAGGCAGTATTTAAAAGGATGAATATATAATATTCATGTGTGTATATAACTGGTACATATGTGACTTATTCACACTTACCATGTTTCTAGCCTATCTCTCATGTTTACAACACCACTCCTGTCATATGAAACAATATTGTCACTATACCCGGTGACCCAGCAGTTTATTAGGCTGTGCTTCTAAGATTAAGGAAAGACAGAGGGCCCAATGGAGGTTTTCTGTTGTTGTTTTTAAATTATTTGTGGATCTGCATTATCTCTAAATCTCTTGGTTAGATGTGGGTCATCTGGGAAAAAAACAAAACCCTCTGCTTCTATCTTTTTGAAAAACTATTGTCCCTGTTATACAATACATGTCAGGCTGAGCAAAATTGCTCGCTGTTGCAGAATATTTGGTATCAACACTCATACGCAGTAATATTTATTTGTATTCTTAAACTATCAAAAATTTGTTTCAGTGTAAGTAGTTGGGTGATCCAAAAAGTACAGAATCTGTCTCATGTGAGCAGCCCTGATCTACCTAAAGTTAAAACAGTAGCTTTGAACTTTTGTTGTGGGACCTGCTAAATATCGAAGTTGCTTACGTTTAAAGCCTTGGCCATTACCTCCTCAGCTGTTTCTCATAGAGTAGTGTTTGGCCTTTGTCCTTATTTTGCATGTGTAAATTATTTGTCTGATTTTAGTTATGGTGCCTTTCCACTTAAGCAACTGGTAGGTGGATCTGTGTTTTTGCATCTGTTTTGCTTTATATGTCACTGCAATCTGGAATTTACGGAAAACAGATTGAAGGCTACTGATAGTGCCTTATGCACACCAGTTCTTGGACATCTGATCCAATTTACAAAAAATCCACTTTGCCTTTAGTAAATAGGCTATATACACAGCAACAGTTAGAGAGCTCCATCACATCTGAGAAAACTGCTTTCTTTTGAAAGATGCCAGACATCTGCTCCCTTAGTAGAAGTACCTTTAGTCCTGAAAGACAACTGACTATAAATGTGGCACGTTGAAGATATTTCTTCTAACTGGCTTTTTCAGTACACTTAAAGGAAAGAGGACGTCATCATCACTGTAGCCACAATAGCTCTTACAGTCCTACGTGCACTTGTTGACAACAAACTCAATTTTCGTCTCCCTGTACATATTTTTGTGCTTTACTGCTTTTGTCTTAACACTGTATGTGTTAAGACACATGCACTTGAAGATGTACTTCAGTTACTCCAGTTTTTTAATACTTTGTTTGGCATTTTAATTCACAGAAACCTTGCAAATATTTATGGTTCTTTGCAAAGTTAGATCAGTTTCATGTAATAACTTCCTCTGTGACCTGCTTATCATTTAAATTCCATAGAGTTCAGTCAGAAAGTTTGATAGAATTTGGAGAGCAAACACTTCAAAAATTCCAGTCCAAAAGCTTAGCTAATTATTCGCGCTTTTGACTTTGCTTTATTATATACCTTTGTAATAGTACATGGTCTATCTGAGATTATCAGCATTACTTGAAAAATTATGTTTTGTGCAGAAGTTATCGAAGTTTGGTAATCAATTAATAATATTCATTCTACAACATTCCTGTTCCAGTCTCCAACTGTTTGTACCTACTGAACATAGTTCCAGGATTTATCATCCTTCTGTTCATTATTCATAACTGCAGGCAAATATAAATAAAACTCAGGTACACCTTTGGATCTCAGTCAAATTTGGTTTTGATCAGAGTGATTTGGATACTTTTGTTCTTTTCTTACAGCAGCCAGGACTACAGCTTAAAGAGTGTAGATTTATATGCCTTCCCAGATCACTTAATGAGTGGCATATATCAAATAAGTTACTACTTTTCATGTAATCTACCAGCTTTACAATACATAACTATTTAGCAGTGCTGGCCCAAGGAAGTCATTATTAGATATTCTCACTCCTATAGATATTCTTTATAGAATAAATTTCTACTACATCAAGTGTAAGGCATCATCTCATGCAGTTTATGGCACACTGCATTCTATAGCAGTTGCAAACCTTTATTTTTTCATTCACTGACAAAAATATAATATGCACAAATCCTAGTCTTATTTTTAAAACAGTCCAACACTGAATGCTTAAAAGAAAAGTACTAATACCTGCAGTACTGCATTCAGCTCTGGGGCCCCTGGTTTAAGAAAGACATGGACCTGCTCGAGGAGGGCCATGAAGATGATCAGGGGGCTGGAGCACCTCCCCTGTGAGGACAGGCTGAGAGAGTTGGGGTTGTTCAGCCTGGAGAACAGAAGGCTCCGGGGAGACCTTATAGCAGCCTTCCAGTACCTGAGGGGGCCTACAGGAAAGGTGGGGAGGAACTCTTTGTCAGGGGGTGTAGTGACAGGATGAAGGGTAACGGTTTCAAACTGAAAGAGGGGAGATTTGGATTAGATACTAGGAAGAAATTCTTTAGGGGGAGGGAGGGGGGGCGTTGTGAGACACTGGCACAGGTTGCCCAGAGAAGCTGTGGCTGCCCCCTCCCTGGCAGTGTTCAAGGCCAGGCTGGATGGGGCTTTGAGCTACCTGATCTAGTGGAAGGTGTCCCTGCCCATGGCAGGGGGGTTGGAACTAGATGGTCTTTAAGGTCCTTTCCAACCCAAACCGTTCCGTGGTTCTATGAACATTGATGAGAACTAGAGCTTTGGGGGCACTTAACTTTTTTTTTTAAAAAAAAAAAAAATTGTCACCTGTCTTTGCTTCATTAAAGTCGACAGGTTTTGCCCTAGATTCTCTGAAAGAAAATTAGAAACTAAGTTTTTAAACCCTTTCTCTCAAAAATGAGTTGAACTAAGAACTTAAATATATGACATTTAAAAACATGGTGATGAAGTCTTTCTACGTAAGGCCTGCCTGTATGCATAAATACATTCTTAGGTATACCTTATCTTCCCTTTTACAGTAACCCTTCAGTACAGCAGCGTTAATACTGAAAGGAGACTACAACAGAGGAATGACAGAATGAAGTAAGCCATTTAAAGGGAATGCCTTCTGTTGCAGGTTATCCTGAATGCAGAAGAGGTTTCATATTTAAATGTCTAACAGATTTTCATTTCTAAATAGATTTAACATTACTGAACAACTCTGCACATCTTTTATTCTCAGTGGCTGGATTTAAGATCCAGAAACGTTCCATGAAATAAATGTTCCCTTGTTTAAATGTGAAGTTGTTTTCTGTAGGAGGAGGCACGATGTTCAGATTCAGTGGGGTGCCAGTTTAGTAATTTTGTTCAAAGTGCATGGTGAGAATAATATTTCTCCTAAAATGAGGCACAAGGATAAGTAATAACTTTTTATGCATGATAAGCATCAAAAATATGAGCCTGCTGGTCTTTGCTTTTCATTTTTCTTTACCTTTGTCTTTCAGTCAGAGCCTCCTGCAGTGTGCACACAATGTGATCAATAACTCAATAACTTTTTTCATGCAGTAATTATCTCTATGTGGTATTATCTGAACACTGTTTTTCTTTATTACCCAAAAGATGCAGGAGATACTTATATAACCAGCTGATCCCATTTTGGATGAAGCTGCTTCACGACAGCAGGAGAAAGTTTGTTTTAAATAGCCTTTTTAACAAATGCTGTATGGAAAGCTTACCAGGCAGTGCTTTTTTCCTCAGGGAAAAATTATTCTAAATACTCTTTTGCACTTAATACTTTATGTTTAATTAAGCACAAAGTAAATGGAAGTGTCCTGTAAATTAACAGAGTTTTAAGCAATTATGCTAAGTGAGTGTCTTTTAATAAAAAAGCCTATTCAGAAAATAGGTACAACTATTCTGAAGTTCCTAGATGGTAACTGGACTACTGATTTTTCAGACTAAAGACTTGCCTTAAAAAATAATGTTCCTATCTGGAATACATTCTCATTTCATTGCCTTCTAATTTTTTTTTTCATTGCCTAACCCAATTTTCACAGATTGAGATCTTACAAGAGTCACGAATGATGATTCCAGACTGCCAGCGCAGATTAGAAGTTGCACGTGCAGATCTTACTCAGCTCCTAGTAAGTATAGCACCAAAATCCACTGACCATGAAATGCTGCTGTTTCTTGATGAACTTGGATAAACACGTTTGTCTGCAGTGCAACTGCAGCATATTAGAACTGAAGAATCACTTTTTATAGGTCTCAGGACTAGCATCCTGTAACATAGCAATATTTCATTTTAGATAGCTGTCTTTGCAGACTTTGTCTTCAGTCTATGAAAACTCTTGTGTGTGAGAATATTGGAAGCTGTCTTTAATGGAATGTACGCTCAACACACACTTAAATACTGAACTGGCTAGAGTGGACTCCGAATTCCTGTGCTAGTCCCATGATCAAAAAAAAAAATTCACCCGATTTAGGTATTTTTCTAGATAGTGTAGATATATATAATATGCTTGTAGTGAACTGAAATAGTAAAAATACTTTGCTTACTTTTAATCTGCTATGGACCAGAAACAAGACAGTGAGTCCTTGCCAAGTATTGCTTTATGTTTTATTAGTAAGGTAAGCACTAGTGCCACATTTTTAAGATATGAATACGTGCATGAATAAATGGTATATTGTACAAATAGTTTCACTGAAAGTGTACTAAGTTTGGAGATAATCATGCTTATTTTAAAAGCTGCCTTGTCATCAAGAATTCAGCTGCACACGTAAATGCTACTGTGAGGCTAAAAATACATACCCTAAATTAAACCCCAGACAGATTTGATGGCTAAAACGCAAATACCTTCTCAAAGGAAAACTCAAGGTGTCTTATCCTCAGGTAGTATGCCTCTACTGTTTTCCAAAAGAAATGCTGAGTACCTGGCAGGATTTAGGGTCATTTGGTCATTCAACTAGTTACTTAACAGTTAGCTGGTCTAGATTTCAATAGCATGCAGAAGTGGTGCTATTGATCCATACAGTGTGCTGAAGAAACTTAAAACAAGGAATGGCGAGGAGTTACTGTTGTTCTTAAGAAGTTTGAAGTTTTCAAGAATTGCTTTCCGTGCTGTAGCTCACCTTCAATGTTTCTATTAAAATCAACTGTATAGTAATATGTTTTTTCAATTGTCAATCTGATTAAGCTTTTTCCTAACCTTACTCTTCTTCTGAGGTCTGTTGTTATTGGTTCCAGTTATGTTGTCCTCGGTTTTAAATATTTAACAGAATAAAATAAAGGTATGCAGAGGTCATATATACTCACACATGGCAGCCATTATGCTGGACCTTAAGTAGGACAAAAGAAATTACCTGTTCTTTCAGTCATCTGGAACTAGTGTTTTCCATAATGATACATACCATGTTTCATAGAGTGGTTTGAGTTGGAAGGGGCCTTTAAAGGTCATCTAGTCCAACCCCCCTGCAGTGAGCAGGGACATCTCTAATTAGATCAGGTTGCTCAGAGCCCCATCCAACCCGGCCTTGAATGTTTCCAGGGATGGGGCTTCTACCACCACTCTGGGCAGCCTGTGCCAGTGTTTCACCACCCTTATTGTAAAAAATTTCTTCCTTCTATTTAGCCTAAATGTGCCCTCTTTTAGTTTAAAACCATTACTCCTTGTCCTATTGCAACAGGCTCTGCTAAAAAGATTGCCCCCATCTTTTTTATAGGCCCCTTTTTAAGTACTGAGAGGCCACAAAAAGGTCTCCCTGGAGCCTTCTCTCAGCTCTCTCAGCCTGTCCTCATAGGGGAGGTGCTCCACGCCCCTAATCATCTTCATGTCCCTCCTCTGGACTTGCTCCAAGAGGTCCATGTCTTTCCTGTGCTGAGGACCCCAGAGTTGAGCACAGCACTGCAGGTGGGGTCTTACCAGAGCAAAGCGGCAGAATGACCTCCCTCGACCTGCTTGACACACATCTCTTGATGCAGCCCAGGATGCGGTTGGCTTTCTGGGCTGCGAGCGCACACTGCTGGCTCATGTCCAGCTTTTCATCCACCAACACCCCCAAGTCGTCCTCAGCGGGGCTGCTCTCAATCCCTTCATCCCCCCAGCCTGTATTGATACCAGGGGTTGCCCCAACCCAGGTGCAGGACCTTGCACTTGGCCTTTTTGAACCTCATGAGGTTCACGCGGGCCCACCTCTCCAGCTTGTCCAGGTCTCTCTGGATGGCCTCCCATCCTTCAGCCACATCAGCTGCACCACTCAGCCTGGTGTTGTCTGCAAACTTGCTGGGGGTGCACTTGATCCCACTGTCTGTGTCATTGATGAAGATACTAAGCAGCACTTGTCCCAGTAAAGACCCCTGAGGGACACCACTCGTCATTGAACTCAACTCGGACATTGAGTCTGTTGTTGCGACCATCCAACCAATTCCTCATCCACCAAACAGTCCACCCATCAAATCCCTATCTCTCTACTTTAGAGAGAAGGTTACTCTGGGGGACCATGTCAAAGGCCTTAAAGAAGTCCAGATAGACAATGTCCATAGCTCTTCACTGCTGTAGTCACTCCATCATAGGTGGCCACTAGATTGTCAGGCAGGACTTGCCCTTGGTGAAGCCATGCTGGCTGTCTTGAATCGCCTCCCCATCCTCCATGTGTCTTAGCACGGGGTCTAGGAGGATCTGTTCCATGATCTTCCCAGGCACAGAGGTGAGGCTGACAGGTCGGTAGATCCCAGGATCCTCCTTTCTACCCTTTTTAAAAATGGTTGCAATGTTTCCCTTTTTCCAGTCGCCAAGGACTTCACCTGACTGCTGTGGCTTTTCAAATATCATGGAGGGTGGCTTGGCAACTACATCAGCCAGTTCTCTCAGGACTCTGGGATGCATCTCCTCTGGTCCCATAGACTGCTGTACGTTCAGGTTCCTCAGGTTGTCACAAACCTAATCTTCTCTTACAGTGGGAGGGACTTTGCTCCCCCAGTCCCTGTCTTGCAGCCCATCCACCTGAGAGCTGTGGGAAGAGAGGCTGCCAGCGAACTGAGGCAAAAAAGTTGTGGAGTATCTCAGCCTTTTCCTCATCTGTTGTTACCATTTTTTTGGTTAAAATTTTGTTAAATTTAATCCCATGTCAGTTATTTTCAAAGTACTCAAAAATTTTGTTTTTGATTCCAGGAAAATGAAAAAGAATTGGAAGAAGCCGAAGAGTATAAAGAAGCACGTTGCATACTGGAGTCAGTGAAGCTGGAAGCCTAGTTTTTCAGTACTGTCTTTATATGCATTAGCACTGGGTCCATTCCACACTTTCATTTGACTGTGGCTCTACTACTATTGTTGACTTGCTAAGGTTCCATTTATGCAAACTGGCCTTTCTCTAACTGCAAGATGCATCAAATAAAGGATGTTCTGAAACACCTGTGTAGTCCATATTCAGGCAAAACAGAATCTTAGAATGGTTTGGGTTGGAAAGGACCTTAGAAATCATCCAGTTCTCACCCCCTTGCCGTGGGCTTTAGAAGCACCTTATATTTGAAGTAATTTCAAGCCATTATAGCATAACAATCTGTACTGAAAGAGGAAATAGATTAAATGACCCTTTAAAGTCATCCATCTTTTTTCTATGATGCAATTTATCTGTAATTTTATCAAGTATGTACTCCTTGTTTACCTTTGATGCCAAGACAGATTTAAAAGCTGATTCCAGATCTTTCTCAGTTTGCCTGGGATTGATTCATAGAGCCCACTTGCCATTGATCAAAATTCTGTTACTTTTTCAAGAAACAGAATTTAGCAGCTGACTAGTATGCTGTCAGTTGGATCTGCTGTTAAGAGTTCTGGATTGAGTGCTTTTCCTGAAAGCACCTTGGCCTAAGTGAGGGGTTTTTTTTAACAAAGCTCAAACCCCAGAAGATGAAAGAGAGCTAATGGGTAAGGGAACAGTGCTTAATCTGCTTGGAAGACCATTAAAACACCATGTACAAAAGCCGTGGTTTGTTCAGAATAGCTTCTCTAAACAGCAAACAGTAAGCTCTGCTGATGAACAAGAAAGCTTTTTACATTAGTTTTTTCTAGTTTGAAAGTGCTCTGGCATGTTCCTTAAAGGCAACACAAAGCACAGTGTACCTTTTGTGTGGTGCTATATTGAATACTCCTAATAAAATTTGTTAATTTGCCTGAGTTTGGCTAAGCTTCAGTTTCAGTACTTATATTTGTGTACCTTAAGCACATTAAAAGTATTGTCTACTTCTCCATCACTCTTAAACAGTGGTCTGACAGATTATCACCACAAGATTTCTGATTGACTGCAGAATAACCCACCAGTACGAGACAGTGCTAAGAGGTAAAACCTTTTGTGACCCTGCCATCGTTTCATAAGAGTACATGCACACCTTCTTACCAGTATTGTGTCCTAGGCACGTAACTGCCAGACAGACACTGCCCCGTTCACAGCACAAATGAACTGCTATTGAGGAGAACATCTGTCTCATTTCAGCCAGCTTCTTCTATGGACCTTCACCAGGAAAGGTATCTGGAGTGGACAAAGCAGGTCGCGTGTCTTAGCTGACTGGCTGCAGTCAGCATAACAGTAACCCGGTGCTTGCGGCCATTGAGTGGACTGTGGTGAATAAATACTGAGCTGAAAAAAGCGTAGGGAGGTGTCAAGTCTGATGGGTAAAGCAGAATTTAAAATAAAAATTACTCTTCTTCAAAGAAAGAATACACACTTCTGGAAAACAAACCACGAAAAATCATGTGTAGTTGCTGAGTACCACAAGGGATTCAGGTCAGCATGAAAGCTAAACAGAGGCATGACCTGTAGTGGCTGAAGGAAAGTAGCATTGCAATATGGCTTAAGCTGGCATTTAAAGGCACATGGGACTGAGTAGCTACCATATAAACCAGACTCCATGGAAAAGTTTCTTGGTGCAGTTTATTGTAGTGTAAAGTGGTTTCTCATGCTTGCTTAGTACTTCTCTGTCCAAGCTATTTTCTAGCTCCCTCTGATTGCATCAGGAACCAAGATGGTAGTCTCCCCTATCCATTTCTTCTTCCCTCTTACTAAGTTCTCCAAAAGACTGAGCATGTTCTGTTGCATAGAAGACAGCCAGCCTCACTGACAAAAATCAAGGTATGTTCATACCTGAAAGTACTTGCTCTGTTCTTGTCTCCAGATGCCTCTGGTAGTCTAACTTCCGAGAGAACAGCAGCACAATACCTGTAAAAACTACACCAACAAATTGTGATAAGGCAGCACTAACATAGGGCTGGCCCCTGAAGGGTGGATTGGCAAAGCAATGCAGATAATGCATTACTCATGCCAGCAGAACAGTTGATCCAGTGATATATTATGGTAGACTGCATTTTTCCAGCAGTGCTCTGAGTGGCCAGATGCAGATTATTCATAAAGGAGGTTATTTTTGCTGACAAAACATTTATCATTTAGACTGGATCCAAGTTCCACAGTGAAGTAAGATGCAGAAAATTAAGCATATGCAGTAATATTGTTACCACCCTCTCAGATCCCAAACTTAAATGCAGTAGCACATCAAATAATACCACATTATTTCTGATTTTGAAGTTACCTTCTCTTTTTGGAGATACATAGGCTGCCTCAGCAGATACAAGAGATGATCCCAAAAAAGATTTTTGACCTCTGTCCTCTTTGAACCTTGTCACTAGCTCTACTGATGCCTTTCAACATCCACCTAAGATAGATGAGCTGTATTTAGCTTTTCACATGATGATACATGTCAATTTATCCCTCAGTTTTCATGCTGCACTCTTACCGTGAATGCATTTTTTACACCCTGGACAGAGGTACTATCATTTCAATTACACCTTTCTTGCTGGCAGAATACGTTTAAAGTTTTGCAATTATTTGCCAGTTGAATAGAGCATTTATTTTACTGAGAGGTCATAGCAGAACAGGAGTCCATGTTACACCCTGACTAAAGAAACAAAAGAGGTGATTTGAGAAGAAAAAGGTAGACTGAAGATAATTTGGAAGTAAGTTATTGTTACAAGTTCTGTGCCCATTGCTCCAATCGCGATTCCTAGCTACTACCTGCTTTTAAGTTTAGCCTTACACAGTTAAGATTCTTGTCCTTTGATTCAGAAGATGTGCTGCATCTAAAATACAACTACAGAACAAACTTGGTACCTTCACTCAGAAACTATATTTAAGTCCCCACTCATACTGTATAATCAAAACTTAAAGTAGCGTCAAAACTGTCCTCTAATTTGAACTCCTTCCTTCACTTTAAAAACTTCTACAACACTCAAGTAATTAACGGGCTAATTTACAGACCAGTTGCTTTTGTTATGTAACTAAAAATATTTTTCTTAATACAACACATTTTCTTGCCCAGCAATGATTTCCCAAGGATTCTTTGGAAGTAAGTTTCTTACATTCATAAAAGTAACCATGATTCTAAAACAATGTTTCTGACAGGCCTCTAATATATCTCAAAACAAAGTTCCTCAAAATAGCCTGCATGAAAAGCAAACCTTGCAATTTATTAGGAACATCTTTTAGGTGGTTGTTTTATGGTGTTCATGTTTTGGCAGGAAGATCCAGGAAAAGAACTGAATTTTCTTCTGAAAACCACAGGTTGTATATGAATACTTAAGAGGACCCAAGAAACATCCAGGCTTCAGCACAAACCATAGGAAGCACACCGTTAAGCCACAAATCCCTTCCTCATCCCTGTTCTTCCAGCTCTAATTGCAACAACTAAGTTGAATCTCTCTCTGTCTGGGATTTGCAACCCTGAACCTCTGCTTAGAGCCCAATGTCCATGTCAGTTACTTCTTCCAAAACACAAGCAGAGGAAACAGCCACCAATGCATCCTTTCACACTTTTATTTATTAGCAAAACAGGTACCATCTTCCTTGAAATATGAAAATTATTCTTATAATTGGCCACACTATACTAAAGACCAACCAACAACACAAATAAGATAACTGTGATTTTATACTAAAAAAAATAATTTTGGAATGGCTTAAGTATGGGCAGCAGGAGAAAGCACAGTCTGGTCTAAAAGCACTTGCACAAGGACCATCACTATGTACAGATCATTTCTGGCCATAGCTTACTTGCATAAAAGGGAACAGACTGAACAATGCTTTTTTTTTCCAATCAAACTATTGCTCATTGGAGTTGAATTACCTGAATTTCATTAAGTTCACACAGCATAGGTTAAAAGGAGATTTATCCACCAAAACACAGTTTCAAAGGGAAAGTGTGTATTGGTCCAACAGAAAAAGCTTATTCCGTAGGCATATAATTAGCTACAAAAAAGGTCTACCAGGCTCCAACATCCTTTAAGAGGAGAGACAAGCTAACTGTACATAGATATTTTGGATTAAATCCACAAAAAGGATAAAGGTAGTACAGCACACCCCTTTTAGAAGCCCAAGTGTAGATAGGGAAAGGGGACTGACTGCACCGTGCAGAGCAAGTCAGCACGGTGGCACTGAATCCAAGGGCAAGCATTTCATAAATGTCTAATGCTCACGGATCTGCAGAATATAATGTACGTTGTGCTACAAACACTTGCGACATGCTCTGTCAATATTTTGACTTTCAGGCAAGGCAAAGTTTGGGCTTTCAGAATGGCACTTGTAAAAGGCAATAAACCAAGAAGTTTCTAGCCAACAGTAAATGTAAAGATTCAGAGCAGGAAAAGAAAGGCTTTTTCTGCCATGTAGAAGACCTGTTTTCAAATCCTTTCTGCTTAACCTAAAGCAGAGGCTTGAATCCAGATCTGCCAGTTAAAACAAAACAAAACAAACAAACAAAAAACCCAAACACACACACAGAGCTGCTCTGTTTCCTTAGAATAACATACTGTTTTGCCAACCCACCTCCTGCACTTCTGGTGAAAGCCTTCAGCTCTGAGCTGCAGTCAGTCTCCTACACTCCTCTAACACTGACTTGAGCCGGCTTTAAAAGCCCAGGCTTGTCGAGAGATAAGATTATAAATCAAAGGGTTTCTAACAAACTGAAGAAAGTTTAGAAAATTGTATTTCATTAAGAACGTATTTAAATAAGGAAAAAGGCAAAATTTTATGTGGCAGCAGAAATTATCTTCTGCACAAACACAGGAAAAGGTAAAAGCTAGACAGCATTTCTGGAAGAGATGTAAGGGTTTTAGTGAATTATATGCAAAACATTAGCCTAGTTCACAAGACACGGCAACAGCCCTTACACTCTCCTTCATATTAGTACGGCTTCAGATAGAAGAAGCATCACAATTAGAAGCTACAACTAAAGGACTGAACAAATAGCAAAGATTCAGAGGAGAACAGTGAAAACTACCAAAAAAGACTGAAAAACAGTCTCTTAAGAAAGACACAACAAATCCAGATATTTTAGCCTGGAGAATACCGAGGGTGGTGATGGCAAAAGTC